TGATAATGAATGTAAGTTTTGTTTATGCTTATGTTTCTGTATTGACGTTGACATCCCAAACGTTTTAAAATGAATAAAAATACATTGATTCGAAAATGTTTTGATAACGTATTTATCATGTTTCACTGGGAACAAATTCCGCAACATTTTCACTAAAATAGGTACTCTGATTTTTATAAAGCATAAACAAAATCGGTCTTTTCTGGCCGTGAAAATTGGGATGTCACAGTTTTGGTATTCGATATGCTTCCATTTTTTTGGACACTTGTTCTTCCAACTTTCTATCTTATGATCAATTGCTTTTAAGTTTCAAATATGTATATAATAATATGATTTGTGTGCTTTTATTTTTCTTTCATACTTACATGGCCATCATTGCTTGTTGTAACAATTAGATTACTTTAGCCTAAATTAATCTACTTGTAACAGCAAGCAAGGAAGTCCATGTAAGTATGAAAATATAAAAAAGCACATAAAGCATACTAATATATATAGATTTGAAACTTAAAAGCAATCAATCCTAAGATTGGCCATTGGAAGAACAAGTGGTTTGAACCTATGAGATGATATCATAAGAATCCAAAACATTAACTTGTAGTACCAACTAGGATTATATGGCTAGCTATAGTCACTATACATGAACACTATGATGTTTTGAACCTATGAGAACTTGAGTCTCGGCATGACATCATATATACAATCGTTTCATTCTTTCGATGTGTTTAATCAGTCTTTAACTATTGAGATAATTCATAATCTAGGACACTTGAACTCTGGGTATTTTGCGAAACCTTCCTTTTTATGCAAGTTTTGTGTTACATTATGATACTAGTTTTATTAGTTTAAATAAGGTTAATGTTTAGAATGTTTCAGTTAAGTAGTTCCACCAAATTATACATTGTTCACAAAGTAATTAAGTTCGTTCTTATTATTTTAATTCTCTTGATATTCTGATATTTCTTTTCTTTGATGTTCTATGTTTTCATTGGGCATCAACAGATCATTAGGTTGATACCTTACATTTGGTATTAGATCCTAGGGCTCGTGGAGACGAAGCAGGCCGGTTTGAGAATCAGTTGAAAGAAATGGTGTGGCTCTTTGTTTCAGGGCAGAAGCTGATGGGTTTTCTAGGTTATAAAATTACATATGAGTGGAAAAACACTTAACCCTAAGTTCACATGCAACCTGGTTTGGATCTATGTTTTCTCTATTGAAAACAATAAACTATAAACATCAAGAAACCCTATGGAAACCTTACTATTATCAAAATTTATATAGGAATAGGGTTACATACCTTTTGATTATTATAGTAAATAATCACACAAAATGCTCTTGAAGTTCCTTGGAAAGCAAGAACCAAAAACTTGAATGTCTCTAATGGCTTGTACCTAAAACCCTAATAACTTGAAGACTTGAGGAGATAGAGCAAGTAGAGAAATTTTTTGGCTCTACGAGGGAGAAGAAGAGTGCATGAAATTAAGGACCTTATGGGTCCTATTTATAGGTGATAAAGAAAACCTTAGATAAACCTAATTGAATATTATAATAGTATCTCAAACATGGACATTATACAACTCCTTATTTATATATAAGGAATATTTCAGAAACCCTAATCTTCCTCCCTAAAATTGTCCAAGGATAGGAAGATTTTAGAATTCCCTTTTGTTCAACTATTGAATAATTACAACTTAACCCCTGCACTTTCAATTAAATCTAATTAACCTGAATTAATTCCAATTAATTTCTGATTAATTCTTAATTAATAATTACTATTTCAATTTAATATATTAATCAAACAATATATTAATAAATCATTTATTTCCATTTCTAATTAATTTATTAATAATATAATAAATTATCAAATCAAAATTTCTCTCCAAAAGTTATTATATTTTGTTACAGGTTATGAGGACAACCCAAAAAGGTGTTTGCTTCTAATTCAAGAAAATATCAATTTAGTTATTAGCTTAGAGACCTTAATTCAACAGTCTCCCACTTGGATAAGTATGTAACTACAATTGCAAGTATAGACCTTGAAGTAAACAACAAACAATGATTTCCAAAGCTACTGCTAAACTCTAATTTAAATAATCTATTGGTCCTAAGATACAACAAACAGTGATTTCCTTCGTTCTTCATGATAAATTAAGATACATGGCATAGATCAGAATCAATCTCAATGCCCAAGATTCTGTTTCCCGATTTCCCGATTTGTAAATACTTTTTACGACTTCAAATTAAACACATCAATTAGTCATGGTTGGGTCAAGCTCTATATAGTCAACATCAAATCATCGAAGGCCCAATGATATCCCTTTTCTGATTATGGCAAAAGGAAAGAATAAAATTTGACTACATAACTGCAACCTTTACTCAACAAATCATATATCATACTACGTTTTATAATATAAAGTTACTGATGCATTGTAATACCAATATACAACCGGTTTGTAAATTACAACTTATGTATCTCCGTTTGAAGAATAATATATATGTATATATATATATATATATATATATATATATATATATATATATATATATATATATATTATCGTCTTAAGTACTCATGAATATTGTAGCAACTCCAATTGCAATGTCTTAACCTCAATCGACAATCTACAATCAATTCATGCCAGTTTTAATTCATTACTTACTTCGAAAAGTATGAACGGTTATGGAAGTTTGAATAATTCAAAT